TTTTCAATTATACGGTTAAGGAAAAAGATAACTCTACTTTCAAAAAACATTTGTTCATCAAATTTAAGAACATAAATCTATATCTCTACTTCCAAAAAACATTTGTTCATCATGTATTCTATAGATACATTTTTTTTTAATGGTTTACGGGGCGGGTTCGGGGTGGGGCATCTCCGCCCCGCCTCGCCCCGAGATGGGGCGCCCCTCCTCGACCCGCCCCGCACCGCCAACCCGTTCGGGGCGGTTTTTTCTCCCCATTCGGGGAGGGGCACCGTCGGGGTGGGCGGTTTTTTTTTGCCATCTCTACTCAGAAACCTTCTTGAAGGTTAGTCTTCTTGAAGTTTTTTGAGGAAGTGAAATCAATAGCTACACGTACTTTGAATCATGATATGGATTAAATGGGTTGTAAATTTGTAATATAATTGTGAAAAGCAGAGTAGAAGAATTGTAAATTTTATCGTGAGAAGAGATTGTAGAGAGTAGAAGAGAGATTGTAGATTTTGTTGTGAGAAAAATATTGTAGAATGAGGGGTGTATTTATAGATGAAAAAAAAATTCCGTTCAAAGTTTTGAAAATGATCACAAAAATAAAAAAAAAGTGACCAAACGGTCACTATATGCTCATGGCTCGTCGAGCCTAGCTCGTACTTGGATGGGTTGAGTAGCCCACGAGTTCGAGCTTTTACAAGTCGACTAGCCGCTCTACCCGTTTGCCCCCTCTACATTTATTGCAAACACAAACTAGACAAAAAAAAGGCGTTGGGATGGGAATTGAGAATAAATTATGCTAGTTGTAGATTCTTGGATGACATTGTGTGATGTATAAAAAATTGTGTCATTGATTTAAATAAGTGTTGTTAAAATCAATGACTTAAAGAATTTCCACAGCAAACAATGTCAAACTTAATATACTTGTAGCAAAACTGATTGAGAATTGAGATCTGTTTGCTCAAAAATTTGCTCTCTTTATCTTTTTACTTAATACAATTTCAACACCTTGACGAATCAAATTATTTGAAATAAGATAGAAAATCATGTGTCAAGGTGTCAAAAAATATATTAAAGAGATATGAGTTCGAAACAACGAACTCGATGATCGAAATGAAAGAAAAAGAAGTTAGGTAGAAAGGGGCAAAATAAAAAGAGAAAAAGTTTAGAAAAGGGATAAGAATGTAGGGTGGAAATTCAATTCATTCTCCAATGAGAACTTTCGTGCCCCCGTCATGTTGTTGTGGGGCCACAGATTTTGTGCATCTATCTGTCGCAATAACTTCTTTGTTTTGAACTGCCTAAGCAGCCATTTTATGATTTATGGGAATTTTTACAGTGGTGGTTGATGTTTCACAGAGATAAGGTAGCAATAATATTTCATAAAGTTACCTTAAAGTTTCTAAATTTGATTTACTAATATAAAAAATTGAAAAGAAAAACTTATTCGAATTTTTGTAATGTTCTTTACTGCTCCATTCTTAACTCAATCGCTCATCCTTTCATCAAGTTTGAAATGATGTCGACGACGTGTATTCTATTCTTCTTTCCTTATCCCGTTCATATTTACACAAAAGTACATCTTTATAGACTCGCCTACTTTTAAAAGTACTTATTTTAAAATATTATCTAATTAAAGCTGCTTTCTTTCAATTGTACATTCCAGAGCATCTTTGCAGAAATACTTGGTGTTGGTACGTTTTGTTCTTCACATATAAATCCTCAACAATAATTTCCAAGCAAGAAAAAATGGAACTTTGA